AATCATATATTTTTTGTTTTGAAATGTTTGGTTCAAGATGTTTTGTTTCGAAATAAGATTTAAACCGTCAAAATTAATGATAAATTTTAAAAATGTCTTGGAAGAAAGAAATATAGAATTTTATCTAAAAACAAGTTCAAAACAAACATATCCCTTTACACATTTTATAATTATAATTAAAATTACATTTAATTAATTTTTACTGACATTTTAGTTTTCTTTTTCTTCTTCGATAGTACGATTTCCAATTTCTGAAGTGCCGAATACTTTAAGATATATTCGTAATATTATTTTATTATATATATTGTATAAAATTTATTTATCTAAATCGCTATCTGATGACATAATGGACAAATATTTTCTTTTTTGTAAAACGAAAGTTTATCGAAGAGAGGATACTTTAGATATTATCAAAATAAAAAAGAACTAAATTCTGTTTAATGACCAATTATAACCGCCATTAAGCGATTTAATGTTCGACTGTTTTTTTAAAAATCGGCTTGATATTATTATAATGTAGATCAAAGTAATACAAAGTAAGATAAATATAATTTTTCAAGATTTTTGACCTATGTTATTATCATTATTATAATTACCGGCACAAATGAGTGTTATATAAATTAACCAACTATGCGCAAGCGTAGAATACGAGCGAATCTTTTCGAGTATTCAGACAGATTTATCAAGGAGTGCGTTGAACTCGGTGATAAAGAGCTGTGTTAATTGGTTAAAACGCAAGGTGACATAAGATATGAGCTCAGTGTGGAACAAAGCCCTTTCGTCATTACAGAGAAAAAGCTAATACCGGCGTCGCCAACGGCAGACAGATGGGTTATCACTGTCAACCTACGCAGCTTCCAGAAAACTAACGATGTATGGGACATGTCGGCGCTAGGCAAAACTCAAGCGAAAAATACACACCGCTCTTAAAAAAGAAGTCCTGGAGTCGTTTGTTTTTTCGATTTAACGCAATTTTACATTCTTAAAAAAATCTTTTTTTTGGCTGTGTAAAAATTTTCTATAATTAAAGTACATATATACTCTAATACATTTTACTGCACAGAACTTTAAGCTAAAAAAATTTTTTTTTAAATATATTTTTTTTATTTAAAATTTAAAATTATCAGTTTATTTATTTTGTATATCTATTATGCAATTTGTACGTATACTTTTGACTAAAATATTAAAATGCATATTTTTATCATTATTTTTTATTTTATTATTCTATTTATTTTATCATTATCATTATTATATTTTCTTTAGAACATTTCTCAATTATAAAATTATTTTGCGAACAAAGAAAGCAATTTTTGATTATTCTATAGAGCACGTTGACACCCAAATTAATTGGCATTAATATTATGTTAGAGATAATTTCATTTAATATAATTGTTCACAATGTCGCGCTCAGAGAGATATATTTATCAAATTATTTTATGTTAACGCACATAGATTAATAGCTGACATATAAACAGATGAAAAGTCGATTAATTAATGTTAGTAATTTTAATAAATAATTTCAATTACAAGTTAATATTAATTATAAATACATTTTAGAATTAATTAATAACTGGTGCGTTTTATTACTGATATTTTTCAATAACTCCTCGACAAATACAAATTCTATTAACTTCGCAGAATGATTACAATACCGGTAAAAATGCTGGAATTTATTTTGGAAATAAATAAATACATGTGTATTTTGCGAAATAAAAATTTTATTTACAAATAGTAAAAAGTGATAATAAATAATGTGTGTACTTTATGGAAACTTGTTTACAGCTATTTTGATACAGCTATTTATTGAATTTATATTACATAACCATTTCATTGAGCTAAATATACAAATTTTGAAAACAAATAGAAGTTCTTATAAAAATAAGAATTTACTTTAGAATACATTTTTAATGAAATTACAGAGTTTAACAGACTCTGACATCGCTTAGATACAGATTAAATCCGCCATTAGAAATGGAGGGAGCAAATCCTTCTTAAGTATATCTTGCATTTAGCATAACGGATTTAGCGAGCTTCTAATAAAAAGCTCAACGATAAGACGCGATCGATAAAGTGACGTCTCACAGAAGCTATAAATGTTATGAGCACTTCATTCGTAAATCGGATTTTATTATCACATTATTGATGTGACGTACAAATACAAGTATGTAATGAGAACATTAGATAAAAATCGCGCGAATAATGCATTAGAAAGTATATTAACAGTAAAGAATATACTATATAAAATAATTTCTATGTATGTGTATATGTGTATTTTTAAAAATATATTTTCTAATACGTTACCTTATATCATTTTTTTATATATAACTCTCCATCATTTGAGTAAAAAACTTTAAATTGTTAGCAGCGATGAGTCGATATCGCGTAGTTTGCAAGTCACGAATTTAATCCCGAGAACACTCAATACTGTTATCAACTACAGAAGTTCTCGTCATATCTTCTTAAAGGTGACCGAAAGAAGGAGGAGATGCATATCTGCCTTTGCATCGTATTAGTATGCATATCTTACGGAGGCACACACACAAGAAAATTCAATCAATTTTTCAATCGCACGAATATCGAGTAATATTCTATTGTCGTCAAAAGTTATGCGGGATTTGTTGTCTTTCTCTCGCTGTTAGTCTTTCGGTATCTTATTTTGCGGTGCGGATTTCGCCCAAAGATTCAGAGTGCTTAAAATTGCGTAGATCAACGTATGTATATGCACACATTATGGTAAATATGCATTGAATGGAACACAACTTCTCCGTAGCTTATGATCGTCGTTAACAATCACATTGATAACAATACACGTAGCTGTCGTGTTAGATAAAGGATTTTACGACTGTATAAACTAACAATAATCTTACGCTGCAAAATCCGCAGCGTAAGTGTCCATAGAATAAACGCTACGAAACGGGTAAGTTCCAATAAGTAACAGCATTGAATAACTGCGCAGAATGGAGTGAAATAGAGTGTTATCTTATAAATATAGAAAAAAACCAATGTAAACGTTTTATGAATAATAATTATAATTTTTTGCTTTTAAATTATCTTTCAATTTTAAATAATAGAAAATTTGATAATAACACCATTAATTGTATACATTATACATACAATAATTATATATCAATTTGTAATTATTTTTTATATTATATTTTTTTTTATAAAAGATTTAAGTAGTTGCCATTGATGTTTTTGATAACTAATAGTATGAAGATATAAAGCAGCCCTCTTCTTTCCGCAATAATTCTGAAAGTAACGAAGCAATTTTTTTTCATGTACTTGTATCGCAACGATTAGCAGTCTCATCGATCAAATATGTCATATAACATTAAGAAACTAATAAAATAATACTGACTTTTATTTATGACAATATCAACGATGGAAATTTTAGCTCTTAAAAATCTAATTACTTTTCGAAGTAGCAAGATTATTTATTTATTCAATGCGATATGTTATATGAAGAGGAATTCTATGAAATAAATATGAATATTGTCAACATATTTTTTTTTATTTTTGCAAATACATTTTTTGATAAATGTTTTAGATTTTTTTCATAGTTCTAAATTTAAACAAATGTTTCTTTTTTTATTTTTAATATGCAATAACTTTATGGATACCTATAGATTTCAACGTTTATAAATTTTATGTTTTTCTGTTAAAAAAAACACACACACACACACACACACACACACACACAAAATTATAGTTATATTTTAAACTTTTATTGAAAATATTAAATAAATAAGTTAATAAAATCATAAACTAAAAATTAAAGTTTGCTCAAAAATTGTTGCTAACTTTTACGATATTGAAAAATGTTGTATGAGAATCTGTTCCAGTGCTGTTCTGACATGTCTCATTTTCAGTATTCAGTATTCCGCGTAAGAGTTTGGAATTCTTCTGCAATTGAAAGAATCGGACGTTGCCTATTCGTTAAAGCAACACAGAAATTTTTTTACCACGTCACCGAGTGCCGAATGTTAAGTGCAGTAATTTAATTGATTTAATTAATCGGTAAATGAACATCCGTCTTTGTTCTTAATTAAATAAAATAAACGATTTTTTTGTTTTCCACGAAATGTCCGCAACGTTTTTCGCTTTTTTCATCGCCGAGTTTCCAACGACACGGAAAGAAAGATAGATAATTACTTTTGTGGATATAATTTTTTCATTTTTATTCCATATCTTCCGCATGACATGCGTAAAATGGTTAAAGGAAAAATAATTTAAAGGAAAAATGGTTTAAAGGAAAAAAATATGTTTTATAAAACGTAGGAAGAATGTTTAATGCTTGTATTTTCAACGCCTGAGATATATATTTTCTATTAGAATTTTAAATTGTTATTTAATATAGACAACAAAAATGATTAAGAACAGCTTTTGCGTATTTTAGGTATAGAAGAAAACAGTAAGATGTAGAATAAAATACAAGTATTTTTCCTTTTATAGGTTCATTTTTATACTTCCTTTGAATACTTGTCTTTGCAACTAAATAAATTTTTCAAGTATCTTTGCATTTATATATATATATACTTTAAAAATATTTTCCCTGTTTGTACATTTCGTGCGTGCATATTCTTTTGCATGTTGTAATTTTATTCGAAATACTTATTATGCTATCAGATTTTGATTTATACATTTAATGCTAATTTATACAAACTAATTATATTAAATGTAAAACTCTTAAATAATTGCATTTTGTAAATACATGTGTTTATATTTTTAATCTTTTTTTTTAATTAAATGCAAGCACTTTAATCTAGCACTTCAGTCAGCACACAGTATCTATATCTAAATACATTTTGTTTCAAGTGTTTTAAATTAAGTACTTATATGATAAGTTCATACGTGTATAGTTATTATGCAAATGTGTTTATTATCAGTTTTTAACATAGATAATATAAATAGGTTTCCAATAAAATGATACAAATTTGCTAATAATGCAGAAATATATTATTAAAAAAAAAATTAATTAAATTATTTTATTTTGTTTACATTTCTCAAAAATGCGCACACAATTGTAAATTAATTAGATATCTACATTAAGTGTTTTTCACATTGATAAGAATCTCATATTTATTTTGAAGAAGCGCATCACGCAAAGCAATCTTGCATTTTTGCATATGATCTTATCAAACTTTCGTAGATCGTACGTGACAGTCGTATTTATCTCACTTGACAGAATAAAGCACTCATAAGGCATCCGATCCGTCACTTTTGATTGGTTTTTCCGACAGACATCAAACAGCGCGTATGATTACGCACACAACACTTTCTTCGGCTAAGATTACGTAAAATGCGTTATGTATGCGTGAAATGCACATCACAGATAACATATTCAGAAATAAAGGCAACGCGGGGAATGAAAAGAAGCTTGGATTATCGTCGCGTTATATCGAATGGACAGCTTTGTTATGAGCACGAAGTGAAGTCTTTTCAGTGAAACTGTCGTACAATAATGGTGTTCGGGTATCCTCCTTCGTGATTCATGCAATCTTCATACGATTTTCAATTGAGAATATTCATGGCAAATAGAAATTCGAGAATTCAATCACATAATATCGTTCCACTATATCATATTGCGACATTCGTGACGTAGAAGTATCTCTTAGATTTTCATTTCCTTGAAAACGCTGCAACTGAAATTGCTTCTACGTAGTAGGTACATGATATTTGTAACGAATAAGTGTTTGAAAGAAGTGGATAGAAAAATTATTCTAAAATCTTAATAAAATGCTTTTGAAGTTTATGGTAATGGTACTAGCAAATTAACTTTATTTACGACTAAAAAAATCTGTGCAGATAAATACAACTTTTTAAATTTATAAATTAAGTTTCTATCAAAATTATTTTATATTAACTCTGAGTCTTAATGCGTTGTATATATCAGAGTTTAAACGAGGTTTTAAAGCAAGTTTTATTGTTATATATTTATTTTACTTTTTTAATTATTTTTAATGATGAAAAGATAAATAACAAATTAATTATTATGATTTGTTATTGCGTTTGTTAATTTTTAAATCTTATTTATTTATTTGGATTTAAAGAAGTAGAAAATTGAATATTATGGTTGTTTTATTACACATATATAAGAGAGGGCATAATAATATATAATATAATATAAAGATATATATCATAAAGATATCTTTTCGCGCAATATAAAATACAGCGCAATCTAAATCCAAGACTGCAAATGTTAACCGGAACACCCGGTTTTGTTGCGCATTTGTATTCTTGAACATTAATCTTCTCAACAAGTTATGCAACAGCGATAAATAACCGAGTAAGTACCACGATCCTTCTCATAGTTGAGGATGTTAATGGCGACGATACGCAATTTTCTCTTAAGTAAAGGTATATTTTTTTCCGTACATTGTTAACGACGAGGCCGACAATGTAGTAATTGCCTCTAGAAATGAATTGCCAGATGCAAAGCAAAGTGGACATACAAATGCTGTAATGTTTATGGCATATTTCTATATAAAATTTCTATATAAAATAATTATTACGATGATTTCAGCACCCAACGCAAATTAGATTTGCGGCAAAATGCGCTTACTCGACATATGTAGTTCTACTGTATGAAAAACTAATTTCAGATTTTTTTTTTGCTATTTGTTTTTGCCCTTCTTTCATCTTACTACATAATATATTATAGAAATTTTTTTCAAAACTTTTTATCTTCTACAATTTCTTTGAAAAATATAAATATAAATTAGAATTTTATTAAATTTCTTATTTTACAATCTTTCAAACCTTTCTAACTTTAAATATCTCTGCATTTCATTAAAACAAAAGCTTATTTCAGTAATAAATATCTATCATTTATTTACAATTATATTATGTATAAAAATAAAGTAAACAATTCTCACAATTGCTATGAAAAATATATTTATATTCTATAAATTTAAATACAAATTTATTTTTTTACATAATTGCCACGTTTTTTAACATATTTCTTCTAGCAACCCCAATTTTTATTTTGTTAAAGAAAATCTTTTAGTGAAAAAATTACTCTGTTATGTATTACAGCTTTAAGCATGTCATTAGTAAAAAAACGTCTCATTTATACCGTTCACACGATCTAATTCTCTTCAAAAATTTTTTTTAATAGTCATGCATGGTAATCTGATAGCACAAATAAATTGTGTGGAGAATATGATATCGTGTTAGTGTACGTTTATGTTGGAGCAGTGATAAAAGTTATAAAAGCGGCGATAAGAAGTGGTGATAAAGCTAATGAAATCTATCTTCCTTTCATATGTTTATAATGAAGCTGTGATAATAGTTTTAGCCATTAACTGAAGTAAACCGTTTGCAATCTATCACTTATCTTTATCTAACAAAGCATAAGAGTATGAAAAATGCTTGTAACCAATAACTAACGAAAAATAATACTCTAGAATAAACTTATAATGTATTAATTTCTTTCAATTCTCAAATTTTTGTAAGAATACAATGAATGGGATTGTTTTGAATGTGGAGTGGCCAGATTTACCTGACAATTATTGTAGTAATTTACGCCGTACTCGTTTGATTTATGTAACTCTCAGTAGTATGATTGATTGCGTTATTAGAAATATTTATTGCGCTGGATTTTGTAGCTGGATTTGAACTGCTCTCTCTGTTCGATCGCTTGATGTCAAAAAATCTTGTGTCACTTTTAATATTTTTATTCGATAGGACATTTTATCATAAGATGATAATGTATTGATATGTGGCAATAAGCTTCTAAAAAAATTCAAATCATCGTCTTCATTTGCCTTTTGTGATCCCTTTTCTTCTAAATATTGAACTTTCTTCTTTTCCACTTCGAGTAATGCAGAACCTACGTCCTCACTTGTGGAATGCTTTCTTTTCGTATTAATATTTTGATGACTCCCAGCTGAATTTGAAGATCGAGAAGACAGTGTTACTGATTCTGTACACTGTTTAGATGAAACAGTTTCACCTGCTGACGGCATCGATAGTTGGTCCTCGTTTTCATCCACATATTTGCTGTCTTCTTGCAAATTTTGAGACGTATCATTAAGAACTTTGTCTTCATCCATTATTGTAAAATTTTCTTTAGATATTCTAAGTCTAAACTGATCTTTTAAAAATAAAAGACGTCGAAAATATTTCCATTGGCCTTCGTAGGAATTCATTGTAAGATCATTTAATTTTGATTTAGGAAGCGACGCCAGGATAGTCCTAAATTGATCCCTCAATGCTTTCCATTTACTTCTGGCTGTAATTCCTGGAAGAGAAATAGAGTTAAATTATTATTATCATCATTATTATCATTGTTACGTGCTAACGCGGACACTACTTGCCCGCTTAACTCTCATTTGCTGCTCTCACTCGGGAGTCAATAATATTACACAAATAATAAAATTTTTTATATTGCGATTTTTTATAATACGTTTTTTTTGTAGGTTGGTACTTGTCAACTGTCAATCATTTAGAAGTTCAGCGTTTTCTTTCCGTGCCGGAATTACAATAATTTCAAAAATTGTAAAAGAGATGATAAAAAAGACGTCAACCACTTCATATAAAAATTTTAATAGAATGAGATTTCAAGAATATCGCAAATAATTACTATAATATAATAATTACGATATATTGATTACTATAAATAATTACTATAATATTTCGAACTTTTTCCAATTGTCTAGGTTCTATTGACGGGAAGCAGATTAGAATTATATGTCCTCTTCATTTAGGCTCCATGTTTTATATTATAACTACAAACAATATTTCTCCATTGACCTCCAAGGATTGGTGGATGCTAATTATAAATTTATTAAACATTGATGTTGGAAGTTATGGCAAACAGAGCGCAACATTCAGATCTTCCGCTCTGTTTTTATATTTATTAGACCGTCTTAATATTCCAAATGCCATTATCTTGCTGAATTTCGAAATTACTGAACTTTACGTATTTATAAGAGATAAAGCTTATCTGCTCTTAACTTGAAACTTTATAGTAGACAACAGTTAGATTCAGATAAAGAATAATGCAAAGTCAGGTTATCAAGAGCTGTTGTGATTACGAAGAACTGAGTGTGCCTTTGGAATAATATACTCAAAATTTTGAGCAATTTTGAGTAAAGCGATAGAAACTAATATACTAATATAACTAATATAATATGTGTGCCTTACATAACACCATCATTGACATGGAAAGCATTAAACACCATCTAGGAGATACATCAAACATTCCAAAATAATGAAATATCAGGCCTGATATTGGTAGACCAATATCTGGCTGCACAAAACATTCGCGATTTATTTAAAACTTACTTGTGTTACAATTTTATTTTAAATAATACCTAATTTTTTTGACAAAAATCTACTATAATCCACACATTTACTCTATAATTAATAGAAATCATTTTTACTTACGTGTTGTGTGTAATTGATGGGCCACTTCATCCCATAGTTTATCTAAAACGAATCTGTTATGATGATTACTATTTCTTCGGTCCCACAAAGGTGATCTCACATATATTTCACTAATTAACTTGTCAACGTTCATGTTTTTTATAGTCGAGAGCGTAGAAATACGAATTTGTACTTCCCGACGCTCGTATCGCTGGTCAACTACTAAGCCTAGCTCTACGCGCTGCTTCAATATAAGCACACTTACATATAAATCAATGTATTAATTCTCACTGCTTCGCTGTTATCGCCGCTCTTATCGATTATTACTGCTCCAACCCAAACGTACCTTTATGTAGTGTGTGTACGTATAAAATAAGAAATAATACGATTATTGCGTGCAAATAATTATATTTATCTTATGCAAGTCATTATCAACACTATTTCAAATTTTGGACAGTGAACTGGCAATGTGTTATCGGATGTTTTGTACAGTTTTTTTCTCAACCGAAATTTTATCGTATGAATGTACGAGACGAAATAAGCATACAAGGTGTTCAAAACAAAATGAACTTAATATGACAAAATAATATTTGAAAAATATACATATAATATGTACTATACATTTAACTGAAGAGAAATGTCATATGCTTTACTTATTTTTATCCTTACGTAATAAATAATAAATACAAAATTAATTAATTAATTTTGTGATGGAATTTCGGTCGAGAAAAAAAGTGTGAGCGTCGTTTGAAGTAAACTTTAATGGAGTGGGAGTGGCTTCACTATGCAAGAGAGAGAGAGAGAGAGAGAGCTATATTGGGTGGGGATCTGTCTTATGTCTTATGTCTGTCTTTGTTTTTAATATCCCCACTTTATAAGGCAGTAAATGTGAATGAGGACAAACGTTTCCGTCTACTATTGCTATCTTTGAGCCGCAAACTACACAGAGGCTCACTCTTTCCAGTATGTTTCAGAACTCAATGTGTCAATCATATTTTTAATTTTATGTAAATAATGGCGCTTTTACGTTTGAGCAGGCATTCCAAAATCCCTTTAATATTGTTAAAGAAAAACTAATTTCAGGCTAATCGAGAATCCATGTATAAAAGGGAATGTAATCAAGGTAGAGTATTTAGTCCCCAAATCTGTACTAAACACACATATGCACACACACGCGAGCGCGCGCGTACGTTTCTATTGGTCTGTTCTTCCTTGATAGAGATCAGAGATACTACCTCTCTGTGCGACATCTTCTACTAATTAGTCTTGAGACTAAGCGAAAGACGGAACGGTTGCGATAACTTGTGATGAGTTTCAACCGATCATCTCAATTGTTACTACGTCTCGGAAAGAGAGAGAGAGAGAGAGAGAGATAGATAGATAGAGAGAGAGAGAGAGAGAGAGAGAGAGACGTATAATTACAAAGACCGTATCTTTTTACATAGTAAAAGAATAAAGTTTGAAAATTACTTTTAGGACAGTCTAAGAACATTAAGAATATTATACTAACAATAAGAATAGCAAGAATATTGTTTAAGACTGTTTTAGAGTGATTGTTACTGTAGGGATTTTTAAAATTTAACACAATTGATTGGAGAATTGAATTATGATATTTAAAGTCGTTATTAATATGTATACAGTCGATCGTGAGACGTCAGAGTAAGAATAGATAAGAGATGTTCGATAGACGGCTGAGAATTCAAAGAATCGCGACGAACAAAAGCAGAGTGAATTATAACAGACGGTAGTGCAATACGCAATCGCAATTGCAACTCGGCGATCCTATTTTATTCATTTTAACGCATCATTTAATTAAGTTATTTATGTACTTTTAATATTAAATATATTATTAGGGGAAGGTGAGGTAAGACGGACCGCGGGGTAAAATGGTCCATTTGCTAGATCTTATTAGTAAGTACCTCTATCTGCTGGATAAACATAAAATTAATTTCCTTTTGATGCTTTTTAACTGTTTAAAAATTACGTCATTATATCATAAGACTATCGTGAGTTATTTATAAAGAAACGTCAAATTCTTGCAAATAGATCTCGTGATCTAATTTCTTAGTATTACATTTTAAGTGACTAAGATTGCAAAACTTAATATTTTTAAATTTTTCTACAAGTTCCATATTTCTGGTTATTTAGAAGTAATATTTCATCAGTTACATTTAAAAAATAATTTTGATACAGGTAAATAAAAATAAGATAATATTAATGTTGTTATGTGGGGTAAAATGGACCAATTTAAATGGG